TCTACTTGTATGCTTGTTTGTCTATGTCTGCCTCTGGGTATACATGATTATACGTTGGTATACATGAATATGTTTGAGTATGCTTATGTGCACTTGTGTGTGAGTGCCTCAGTCACTTTCTTGCATCACTCCTTATCAAATTTCAATCACTCTTCCGTCACTCTATAACAGTTTTCTCGCTATCACACCACCACATTAAAAAGATAACAAATATCTCATATACATATCCGGAATACATTCTCACACATACGAAGACCTGTAATAACCAGCATTTTATATTCTGGGCAATTTCTCTGATCTGAGTTGTATGCTTGTAGGTTTCAGCTGTACTTTCTAACCATCTAATGAAAAAACTTTCATTTACAATTCCATCTTGTTCTTTTTTCGGGCATTTCCTTTGCTCCATGAATAAAGTTTTGGCTCAATTCGATTCGTGTCATTTTCTTTGATGCATCTTGTTACTACGGATAATATAACCTGATTTCTAAAAAAATCAGACGCCTTCTGCATAACATTTTACGGAATCACATCCCTCTTGATTTTTTGTTTTGATATGAAATTCCTTGTAAACTTTTTTTTTCATAATTTGTGTGAATGAAGGACACCACATGAAAATCAAAGTCAATTTTCTCTCTTTTATACTAAAGTATTATTCATTTTATTCCTTAAAATTCTTACAAACAACATATGGATTAAAGGAAATTAAAATATCATGTTATGCTTTTAAAATAACTCCGCAATCCTGGAACAGGGATGGTGGGGGGATGTCGGGTCAGTGCCGCAGCCGCCGCCACGCGCGGGCTGGCCGGGACTGGACACGCCTCGCGCCGGCGCCGCACGCGGGCGAGCGCCGGGTCTGGAGGCCGGCCGGACCCGAGCACAGCCCGTCCCGCCAGCCGGACCGCACGCCTTCACGCCTCTCCTCGCACGCACGCCCGTCGAGCCAGGCTACCGCTGCTACGGAGCCGAAGCTACATTGACAACCGGCGACGCCCAGGTCCCTCCGACGGGTGGGCGTGCGAGGAACGCTGAGGGGTCGCGGTCCCTCGAGCGAGGTTTGCACGGCTTTCGCGAGACAGGATGTGCCGGGTGGCCGTCGGCTCGGCACCGTCCCTGTGGTACTGGCACGGGGCGCAGTAAACCTTAGTGCTATGATATGCATCAAGTGATTCACTCTATTGGGACGATTTCAAGAAGAGTAATAAACATTCTCTACGTAAGCACATTTTGCAACGACATTTCAACGACTTATCAGAGATTAAACCATTTAAACAGCCTAGTCGTCCAGGTGGGCGCAGCAGGGAGGGCGCCGTCAGACCTGAGGCTCAGGTCGGTATTGCTTTATGAGCGGAGTCCTGCGGCCGAGGAGCCAGTGGGCGAGGGTGGGGAAGGACCGCCTCCCTGGCCGCTCACACGGGGACACCTACACCAAGGTGAACGTGACGTAGCAGTTACGTCGCCTCACTCACGCGGCCTCAGACACAACCACGCTTGGCACGGAGGAGAGAGGGGCACACCACTGCCCAAACTCGCTACTTCACCGCCAGATTTTCAGCTACTGGAGCCAGACAACCAATTCTTAACCTCGTAGCTTGCTATACCCACTCCAAAGCTCTGCCGCTACTGCCTTTGCTCTGTGGCCGCGACCGCACCTGAGGTCACCCAATGATCATCACCACCACCGCCAGTGGGCTCGATTTCCCCAAAGCAAGCCTCATCAGTCATGCAAATATGTACAAATTACTATAATTACCAAGTATTACAAGCAGCGGCAACTCGGGCGTTTCCATCCCGCAGCCCAAGTCCTCCAGTGACTGCCGGCAGTCTCGTGGGTCGCCGCACTGGCCGTGATGGGTGGGTAGCGGTGCACCCCTCGAAAAAGTCTACATATTTGGCAGGCTTGCTTTACCTCAGTACAATCGTGCTTTGTACCAAGTTGGCTTTGAACTTGAATTAATTAACAAATACCTCAGGAGGCTTATAGTCCAGCAAAACCAAAGAACAAAAGAAAAATTAATAAAAAGCTCGTTAGGTTCCATTCCTGTATGTGAGGTGAGTGTACACACTAACATGTCATCCATAACCTGTTTTCCAGAATTGCATGTAGTATGACTGCCCACAAGTTTCTTTTGTTTATCTGTTTAGTATTTTCATGTGGTGTGCTTGTACTGTTGACTGTTCCTAATCCACATCAAACAGCTCTACATAAAGCTTGGTTGTTAGTATTTTCCCATTGTAACAGGGGTCCTTTTTAGTCAAAATTTGTTATCTTTGGAAAACTCTTCAAGGGAGAAATTAACTGAAGTCGGTCTTTCCCTACCCCGAAGTTAAAGAACCTGGCTGAATCATCGAATCTGAGCTTAAGAAGCCTATGGTTAAGGCTTCTTCGTTCACCTGTCTACATCTACGATCCAACAGTGAATGGCAACACTAACAGTTAAAAAAATACTGCATCTTATGTATAATAAATCTTTTTCTTCTTTTTTGATTTGCTCTTATAAATGTGAACTAGTGATCTGCTCTTAATGGACTGAATTGCTCTATCAATGACCTCATGTTCCTCTCCCATGTAGCAGTGTCGGCTGGTCATATCAGGCCAAATCTTTCTGGTAAACACATCGTTATTCAAGGAGATATCACAAAGGAGAATACGGTTGAATGTCATGACAATACGCTGGTCTCTCTCCAGCCAATATATATATATATACTGTATATACACAGTTAAGCTCAATGCTGTAAAGTTTACCAGGAAAATTGGGTTGAAAGCATAAGGGAGGCGATGAAGTATCTGCACTCAAGGATATATGACCAAGGAATGACGGTGCAGACACGTTGCAGGTTATCATGCAAGGAGAAAACCCTACACGATGTAGCAAACTTACTGTTACATAGCGTTATTATGCCCTGATAAATGGCTGGATGGTGGACCCAAGACTGACAACGGCAGAGTCTGACACCGGCTATGAATGACATCAGCCATGAGACACGACAAATTGCGCAAGGGGAAAGGACATGTACACACATTAGAATAGGTCATAGAAAGTGTCATAGAAATTTGGAAAATATTGTTTGACTACTTACTGGTCACTATATATTCGAACTGAGTATGCAGCTTTTGTTAAAACAAGAGAAATGTTAAACTGTAAAAAAGTACCGTATCTAATCGTCTTGAGGTACTACACTAAAACCAAATTGAAAATGTATCTTTCGCAAACTCAAGCCTGGCACAAGTGAAATCCTGGGAAAAATAATTATCCCCTTCCAACAATAACAATTATGTTTGAACATGCTGTAATCCTGGGTGTTTGGCTCTGTGGTTTACTGTAGTCTTGTTTCTCTGGCTGCGGGTGTGAGTGAAAGCCATGTCTGTAGATGGGAAGTTCAAGAAAAGTCATGTGTAATGTTTTGTTTTCTGATTGCAAGTGAAAGAATGTCAAATAATAAAAAAAACTAGTATTTGCCATCATTAAAGCCCTAGATTAAGTACCTTAAGTGTTCCTGACTAGTTATTACACTAATAAAAGTTTTTTCTTTATATCAGAGCTGGCTATAGCCAAAACATGAATCTTTACCCGTTGGCAAAAAACTGCGCTGAACATCTCAATCTTTGCTTGAACTTCTTGTCTGCATGTTTTTTAATTTGGTCACTCAAAACTTTATTGAATTACTGTTAGAGGCAAAACAAATAGTGTGGCACAAACCAGAAATGATTACTGGACTGACAGAGCTTTTGTCATATCCTGTTGCAATCATAGGCTACGAGCTTGCTTGCTCTACACTCAAAAACTAATTATAACGACACCATTTTACTACTTAAAATAATGTAAAATGAAAAGTAAAAAAAAGGAAAAAAGAAAAAAAAAAAGAAAATGAAAAAGCATTAAAATGCTATTCTAAAACACTTATGCTTTGACAGTGGGGCAGGGCAACAAGCCAGGACTGTAAGTATATCAATAATTGCTTGTTTACACAGCCTGCCCTCGCGTCCAAGCTTTACCAATTTACAGCTACATTTACCAACAATGTATCCTTGTTGCCACTAACATTGCCTCCTACTAACTTACATCGGGTCATCTTCAGTGTAAGACTATTTGTCATACGATCGGCCAAAACCTCACAGGTATCCTTGGCCGCAGGGCTCCTAGGCACGCTGGGCAGGGGATACGCCACATCGGGCCGCACTGTCCAGCACGTGCAAAGGCTTACAATGGCCAATTCTATGACTATTATTGCAACAAAGACCAGATACCTCTAGTACGCTACATCATGATATCAACACACACGTTCATAATATCAGGTAAGATCCGTGTTATAAGAACTGGTGACCTATTCTTAACATACCAATGAAAAGGATCTGAATCCATTGTAAAGAGTACAAGTGAACTGATATATAAGTATCATATAGAGTAAACAGTTCCAAAAAGAGAATAATATAATAATTGTGCCTAATCATGGAATAATTTTAGAAACATAACACACTATTCTTGAACAGTATTGTACATTTCACTGCATGAGCATGGAAGGCAACCGGGAAAACTTTTTCTTGGACAGTTTATTACTTTTGAGCCCCTCCCCCCCCTTAATTTTGGAAAAGCCTCTTCTGTAATTCCAAAGGAAAATTGAAAAAGGCTCTAATTTACCATAATTGATTCACTTGGGGGGGAAAGGACTTACTTTTTCCCTTCCTTTACCTAGAAATTTATGAAAACCTTCAGTAATTATTAATGACGAGCCCTAAAAAAATGAAAAAATAAAAGGCCGATAGCAGAGAAGGAAGATACACCTCTCTAAATTTCTTTTTTTTTCTTTTTCTTTTACTTAAATCATTAAATGAAAGTTTACCCGGTTTCTCCTCCTCATGTGATACAGAATAATGATAATAGTGATATAGAGAGAGCGTAGGACGGACAGTGGGGTACTGCCCAAGCTTCCAAACTCAAGGAGGGTTTATACTGCACTTATCCTACCACAACTGCTGGGCTCCAGGAAAACATTAGACATAAAATTACCACTTACATTTTTATTTCTCTAAAAAATAAGGTCAAGAACAGCATATTTCCTATGACAATATGCAAGGTAACACAAGAATACAAGTAACTTGTCATCATTTCTAGTAAAATCTGGGTTATACTGTTAACTAAATCCTTACTAAATTTTACAAGACTTTTCCTTTATCATTTACACAAACTACAAAGCATAAAACACTTGACAGTCACCATAGAAAAGACTGAGGGTTGTTCATTTTTTTGTTTTTTTGTTTGTTTTATATGGGCAGGGGGGGGGGGGGATGATGATGATACTTATTACATCAAAGCTTCTTTACAAATAATAATAATATTTACCAAGTACAAATTATTAAAAATTAAAAAATAAAAATAAAAAAATAAAAAAAACTGAAGCTTCCTGAATTTGATCTGCAGTGAGCCTCCAGTGGGGCATTGCCAGTGAAGAGTCCCTGAGGGAGTCCAGCGGAAGAAGAGAAACACCGACCCCCCTCTCTCACCATGGGTGCTGGCGGGGGAGGGGGAGGGGGGAGAAGTGCTGCGAAATGTCCCTAACAACCATCTCAAAAAACTACACAGCCAGCAGTCTTTCTCTCTCTCTCTTTCTCTCATCATCATCATCATCATCATCATCATCAGCCAGCTGCTGTTCATTAATTCCCCACAGTCACAATTATACAGCAACCCCAAAAAATTGGCCAATATTTCCTCCCCAAAAGTTGCCAACAATCTCACTGAGCTGCTAACAACCCATGGAGACCGTGAACATCCGGGTCCTCCAGAAAACACTCTTCAAGAATGTTATCAATGGAACAAGATGTTAACGTGTCCCCAATCTTCCCTGCCTGGCTGCCAACAACCCTGGTGTACCCTGCAGGTCACTAAAGCAGCAATGAAGCAACTGAAATGGCCCGGGTACGACAGGTCACCACCGCTGCTGCTGCTGCCGTCGTACTGCGAGCTCTTCACTCGGCCATCTTGTTGGGGATATGTCTTGAGGATGAGAAACACAGCTTCATGATGAAGGGGAACTTGCTGTCTGTTGGGGCAAAGGAAAAGGAATTAGCTCAAACAAATGCTTTTTCACTCTACTGAAAACAAATTCTACAAGAAAAATAAAAAACAGAATCCAGCTACTTCAGTTGGCAAATACAAAATCATTTTAGTCTATCAACCTACTTCGATGCATACCACTTCAATTAAACATCTTGGTTTTAGAGAAAGAAAGATTCCTATTACTATCAACTCATAAGAGAAATCCCTTATGGAAAATAACAGGACAAACCTTGCGACATTCACAATAGCACGTGTGGCAACACTAGCAATAACAAAGAAAATATAAAACAATATATAACCCTAATTCTATATACACATACAATAACACTTACTAGGGTTGGGGATGGGTGCATGGTTCCCAATCACCAATCCTTCCAGAGCCTCAGAGATGTTGTTGAACTCCAAGAGCCCGCTGGAGCTCCTCTCAGCTGTTGGGGGGGGAAAACAAAAACATTAGACCGACTCCTGTGTTCGTGGAACCTTGAAGATCGAGTGAAATACAAGTATCCTTGAGAACTCCACTTTTTCCTGGGAATCCTCCTTTCAAAAGGAGAGGAGTTTGAGTTCACAAAAGAACAAACCCAAAAGCCAAAGAATGGTTCCAGGAGAGCACAAGGCAAGAAAAGAGCTCAGGAGTGAGTCTAGGGGCACCTTATGAAGAGAATAAGATGCAGAGAGATGTCATCTTCACCTTCAGATCTGGCTCGTTCATTAAACAGATCACTACACATATTTAGAGAAAAGTACCACAATCAGTTTCAAATTCATGGTATACTCTTCAAAATCAAATTGTTCAGTGATAAAATTAAGTTGGTGTGATCTATAAAAAAAAGTGACTATGGGCATCATTTTGCACTTCTGGTTTTCAGAATCTTTTGAGCTATGTATAACATCACTCTTCTTTCAATAATAGAAAGCTAAAAAAAATATATACATATACAATATGTATTCTAAAGTAATTAACTCAAGATAAATACAAGGAATCACTTTTATAAAATGAAATTAGTCTAAAAATCTTATTACAACAGCAAAATTGCAGTCTGCACACTAGAGATTTTTTTGTTTACAGGAAAACAGCAACCATGTAAACTCACCACAACAAAAGCAATTGATTTGAGAAACAAGAACCTCTAATCAGCACCGTAAGCAACTATTAAATGCTTAACCTGTCACATCAAGTTCTTGGGGTTAAAAAGAGCACATGTATATGCAGTCAAGTAGACCTCCATTATAGGAGTTTTCTTGTCCAAATCCCTGGGTCAACAACTGAACTATTTTGAATGAGCCAGTTTTATAAGAAGTGTGAAGATAAAAGAAATTATATGCACAAGATATGCTTGTACCAAAAAAGAAAAAAAGAAAGAAGAAACAGATGGCAATATATGCATGACAACTGCTTGAAAAACAAGAAAAAAAAATAATGATTATAATAAGGATATGCAAATTCATTATTTCAATTATTTCAGCAGCAGACACATCCTTTGGTTTTGTATCAAATCTACATAAAATTTAGCTTAATACTGGTATTGCAATAAATGTGCACAATGTGTTAAAAGACATATCACAGCTTACCCCAGCCAGTAACAACCAAAGCAATGACTGGACCTAAACAGAGCCATGCTACAAAGGCTTACTCTTGCATAAAAGGAAAAAAAAATACAAAACCAAAGCGGCCACACTGTATCTTTCAAAAAAAAACAAAGTTGGTTTCAAAGATCCTGCGTCTTTCCCAATGATTCACTCACACTTACTCTTTGATGGGAACAGCTTGATGCTCTTAGGCTCTGTGACTCCCCCATCAATGAACACCTGTTTAAGCTGGTCCTCATCCAGGCCAGGAGGAGTGTTGAAGAAGTGCAGAATCTGAAAAAAGGAAGAGTTGAAGTCCATTGAATTAACTTATCCCCATTGAAAAATTAGATTTAAAGTTTTACACTTTTGCACGTTTCCATCTTACTGTAATTAGAATTCATTTGCAATTGAGCCAATACTAACATGGAGAGATTTAAATAATTCTGATGGAATGGCATCATTTGAATATTCACTTTCCACATGCTAATAACCAAAAAATTATTTTATGCTAGGATTCTTTCCACAGACCAGCTGGTGTGAGTGAACTTGGATTCTCCCTAACCCAGTATCTTAATTGTTTTTCAACAAAGCTTCCCTTACTGATTAAGAAATAGAAAAAAGCAAATAATCACTGCTTCCTTCCGTCTTGGAATGACTACATGCACTTAGATCTGAAGTATCAAAAGAATACTCATTGCAATCCTGGTATGTGAGAATGAGAAATACCCGAGCTTCCACCCACGTATGATGAACTTTCCCTTGGTTTTTAATTAATATCTTTTAATATTTGTAATCTATCCTAATAAGCTGAAGAAAATTACTAAGTACGCCAAAGATATATGACAAATACAACTTAGTGCTTTCATATTCTCTCACATCAGCTGAAACATGCTGTGGTAACCAAATGTAATATGAAGTTAATGAACTTATTTACATATTGAACTACCATCTCTTACACAGCTTTTACCAAACGATAATTGTAAATAAAACAGGTCTTCATAAAAGGATAAGACGGGATTCAAACTCCCGAGACACCCACCTTGGATGGAGGCTGTATCCTGTTCTTGGATGCCATTTCAGGGTTAATGAACCTGTTGTTTTGTTGCCCATGTAGTCCTTGAATGAGGGGGTTCCATCGGGCAGGTCATATGGCTGCTGGACATCAGCAAGGAAAGCCTGCTTTGAGTATCTGGAAGGCAAAATGCATGACATGAGTACTTTCTGACATGGATGGATGGATGGATGGATGGATGGATGGATGGATGGGTAAGAGAGGAGAGGGGAGGGGGAGAAAATAAATTAGTCTGTCGTGTTATGAGCTTCCAGTAACAGGAAAATTAAGTACTGCCTCGCCCACATAAAAATAAATTTTAAAAGAATGGAAAATGATACAGGGTAGTGTAGGACATGCTTAACAAAATAATAGGATAAAGTCCCATAAAAAATTATTATTATTTTGAAAAATACAGAAAATGAAAAAACTTGCACAAACCCTAACAAAAACCACAAAGAAAACTGAATATAAGGAAGAAAAAGGAAGTGGATGGTGAGAAGCAGGAAAGACCAAAAGAGAAAAAGAACTGCAGCAAAGAGTGGTAACTCTACTGCCAACCTGACCCTAACGTGACCCACTGAGAGAGTTGGTGAACGGTTCCCCCACATGCTCCCGACCCCAGAACAAAATCAATACCCAATTTCACCGAGATAAACCTGTTTCTTTATCGGCTAGCCTGCTACCAGCATAGTGCGGCATGGCTACACCCTGAGTGAAAGACCTCTACTACATACTCTATTCCCTATAACTAATAAACAGACAGACGGTAAGGGATTTCCCCCCCCCCCCAAGATATAAATCATTTACAATTCATTGAGGTTATCTTGAGAACAATGCAATTGGAAAATTAAAGAATTAAAAACTAGAAACTATGCTACTATGATTAGTAATACTGATGTAGGAGTAATAACAATGTCAAAATGTTAATCTTGAATCATATCAATTCACATTGCGGTATTAATACCACTCATTCAAATTTGCTTATACAATTCTTGTTTTTCTTTTGACTGACTGGCAGAACAGAGAAATGGACTAACAAAAAAAAAAAAAAAAAAAAATCATTTATATAGAGACAGCACTAACAAAAATTGGTGAGAAGAAAGGATGAAAAAACAGTAGGGGAAAACACCACCAACAAAACATGAAGCAGGAACAATCAATCACATGACTGGAATAAGATAAATGTTGGAATAAAATGAGCAAATGAAAGTAGTTTGTGGATCTTTGAGTGCATGTCGTGTATGTGAGCATGTGACTGCATGAATGCATATATGTATGTGCGTGTCAGTGAGCACATGAATGCATGCATGCATGTGCGTATACAAGTGTGAGAATGAGTGCAAGACCATTTGCATGTCCTTCCCCATTAGAGTGAATTAGGAATTCCTCTCGAAAATAAATATATCAAGAAGAAAGAAAAAAGAAAAAAAAAGAAAAAGAAAAAACAAATGATAGTAAAAGATAATAATAAAAAAAAAAATAAATAAAAAGGGAATCTCCCAGGCAGCGAGTCCTAGTCGGCCAGCGTTGACACAGCTGAATTCAATCCATCGCCCTGGCCCGACAGATGAGAAGCCGACGAGCGAGCTGTCAACTTCAGCCCGGCCATCACCCCCACTTTGCTCTGGCGACTCACCAAGTTGCATCTTGCAGCTGAAGAATGTCGTGTTGTTGAGGTTGGCCACGGCGCGCTCGACCGCCAGCGCGTCGCCCATCTGGACCATGGCGCATCCCTCCTTCGTCTTCAGGAACTTTATCTGTGGAAGGACAAGGAAGTTTAGCGAGTATCGAAGGATTGGAAGGAAAAAATAAAGAATGATTTATGCAAAAGGCAAAAATTCCTTAATTCACGCGCGTTTTCAAAGCCCAAAAATATTGTCGCTTTCTGCTGCTCGTCTGCTGTTCCTATTATTGTACCGCTTAATGTGAATAATGCAAAAGGGATAAGCGATACCGTGAATCCCCTCCCCGCTACCTCTCCTCACCCCCAATCTCGACGTGCCCGCACTGGCAAGGACTCGTCCCTTTAACCCCGTGGTCAATAAACACCGACGTATGTGCGTGTCGTCGAGGAATGCAGCCTCGTGAAATATATCATCAAACAATTAGGAACGGACACACACAAATAATAAATAATTTCAAGGGCGAATCCATTCCCACGACTATTTTTCCTCTATTTCTTATTCGAAAGCGTACCAACGACCGACAATTGCCATAATAACACTCACGTAATGTGACTTTTTATGTTTGTCAACGAAACAAAAATGCACATAAATCCTCCACTCCAAAAAGACCTATACAGAGGGAGTGGTCGCATTACTGAATGCCCCAGTGTTCACTTTCACACAACAAAACGTTGCCCGGGACAATGCCAATCACACAACCGCCCGCCCACCTGCAAACCGCCCACGTCAACGGGCACCTGGGAAGGCGAGGGACGCGTTGCAGCACCCGCTCTTGCAACATGCGGGATTCTTCGAAGGGGGGGAGGGTCTTTCAGAGTATTTCAGCCGTCAATGTAAAGGGAGTGATTTTTTTTACACAACATTTGTGGGTCGGAGGTAGTTGCGAGGGAGGGTGTTCTTGAGTGATCACAAGGGTCATTCGATAGGCTTTCCTAACCAAGGCTGCTTCGGAGGCATGGGCGCCGCCGCGCACGCCCTCTGCACTTGAACAGGCTAGCAAACAAGCGAGAAAGGAAGAGCAGGGGCTGGTTCCTGTGTACTTACCCTGACAACATTGCCGTAGAGACATAGCAAGTTGAAGATCCTGTCGGCGTTCATCTTGTCCTTGTTGAGTCCGTATACCATGAGGACGGCGCCCTGTTGTGGGATGCCGGGCTGGGGCTGTCCCATGGCCTGCAGGGAGGCACCCCCGGGGCCGCCAGCGCCGCCCATGAAGGGACCGCCCTGGCCGGGGCCGCCGCCGCCGCCCACGAGGCCGCCACCGCGCAGTCGCCGTTACTGATTCCATTGTTCATACCGAACCTGAGAGTAGAAAACGATTAGTTCAAAAAATAAGGCCAAATCCGAAATACTACAGGGTTTCTACACCCGCTTCATCACGTGGCCGAAACGAGACCCCCCTCCCCCCTTCTCTTCCGCTTCTAATTGGCGCTCGAAATTCTTATCGATCCATCAATTTAATTGCTTTACCCTGTCACTCTTACCACAGTCATTAGTTCGGCAGCGACAAATCTATCTTGACAAACTCAAACCTATTAATACTGCCGCCATTATCATCGCCATCCTCCTCGCCCCATCATCATTCGCTCGCTCTCCGCTGGCAACCCTGTTCCATCAATCAACACATTCATTCAGTCCTTCTCGCATCCCTTCCCTCGTCCTTGTCCCGTCCTTCCCCTTCCCTCCTTACTCCTTCCTACCTATCCTGACCATTCCATTCCATTTTGATTTCTCCTCTTCCTCATCATTTCCCTTCCATCTCCCTCTCCTTCCCTTCCTCCCTCTTCCCACAGATGTCACTCCTTCCCATCCTCCAGCGAGGGTCCCAGGGTCCCCGACTCCTGGAAGGCAGTCTACGTGCGAAGAGGCCAGGCGATAAGTCAATAATTGAGTTAGGAGTGTTCGTTAGGCAGATCCTGCCCTCGCCCCCATAAGCCATCGCCGGAGGCATTACGCTCGCATCAGCTCCCTTGTGCACAACCCACACGATTGCACGCACGCAAGCGCACGTACACGCACGCACGC